TCTGCAGGGACAGTGAGATAAGAGCGGTCAATCTAAAAGGCTGTCCTGATGATGTCCATGCAGACCGAGGCCGGGAATGAAGAGGAGTGAACTGCCAAAGTCTTTATCGCAGTTTCTACTGCACACAGAAGCATGGGATAAGGTGAGACTTCTTCTTTAAAGCAAAGAACAGTATGATCTTCTTCCTCTATTCCTGTTGGCTCATACACATAATGCCTGGATGCAGGAGCATACCTAGTGTCTGTATGTCTATTGGTTCGTCCAGCAATAAAATGATTTCCCGACAGTGCATCAGTTTTCAATGAGGTGGTATCTTTAAGCACTGAATCCTTAGTCTCTGGCACAAAGGATCTTGGCACAAGAGTGTTGAGTATGCACACATAGGTTTACTCAACTGAAGAGAGGGTTAGTGTTTTGGGGGTCTTAGGTGGGACATGACTCTCTACACTGGGAGATATGTGACAAAATCTAACATATAGGCTGGCAGGGTGCCCACTGGGGGTGGTGGGAAATCAATGTAAATGAATGGGCCTGCAGATTAAGATGTGGCCCAGATGCAGCAGGCAATGCTCCTGTAGACACGCCACAGTTGAACATCTGTATTAAAAAATATTACAACTTCAATTGGAGCATCGAAGGGAGATTCCACTGCTCAGAATCATGACACAAATGGATGCAATTTAAAAGCCTGATGAATGTGGGTGTAAAGGCCTATCTGCCTTGCTCTAAACACGTTTACCCATTTTCATTTCAATAGCAGAGTAACCTTTTTTAAACTGGCAGCTTTCCTGTACCTGACACCATTCCAAGGTATGTGTCTGCACTTACTCCCTTCTACACAGTCTGCTGAAAAAGCTCTGATTCTAAGTAACAACTTAATCTGCTCTGCCCTGGATCATGGACAGCAGTGGAAATTTCTGCCATAGTCAATTAAGAGACTTCTAACATCTGTCCTCACAATGCAGGAGGCCACGTGACCTTATGCTGGATTTAGGTCATGTTACCCAAAACTGGAGCCTCTTTGCCCCCCCC